CACAATATTGATTATGTTTTTGAAAGTCAAAGTTGGTACGTAAAATGGAGTGAGGATGGTGCAGCTGAACATCATATATATATATATATGTGTGTGTGTGTGTGTGTGTGTGTGCATATATAGTACATGGACACACGATGACTTCACTGCAAATGGTACTACTTCAAAAATTCTCATAGACCTTCCAGAAGGGAATACGTGCAGTCCGTGGCCCATACCTTTCCAAGCCAACTAAGATTTATTTCTTTACACGAATCTTATTTAATTTATAATATCTTCCACCAACTTCGATTAATCATTGAGTGATAAAATGTTTTTGATTTAGTTTTGTATAAAATAAAATAAAAAAACATCTATCATATGGAGCAAAATGATTAACATGAATAAAAGATTATTTAAGAATAGTTTACTTTAAAACTTGTGACTTCTATTTATCGGGAAAAAACAAGGAACCTTGTATTCTTGTGACTTCTTTTTGGAAACAAATTTTCATCTCATTTTTTAAAAAAGAAAGAAAAAGTTGCACTAATTATCCATAGAAAAGTTTTTTTTTTTGTTTTGGATACAGTGCAAAAATATTTGTTATATAAAAAGATTAATGATACTCTGTCCGATCAAATTGGCCTACTCTAGTCTGAATCATACGTATAACTGCCCGATTCATCTTCTTCGTTCTGCTGCTCCGTTGATTCTTTATCTCTCTAACTCACGATTCATCATTACAATTCTTAATGAACTTTTGAAGTTTTTTTTTTTTTTTCCTAATCAAATCCCCAAAACTAATACAATATACTAAAGCCAAAATATATATTGAAAATGAAATTTAAAAAAATAAAAAAATACCTTCAATCTTATTAGGGTTCGTTTTTTCCTCTTCAAACAAACATATATATGTATTTTCTCTTTTGATTTTATGAACTAATAAAGACTTCTCAATACTTTGTTTTTCTGTTAATTTTGCTAGTGGAAAAGAGAGAACAGTGAGTTAAAGAGAGAAAGAATCAAGGAAGCAGCAGAACGAAATCAGAGAGATAGAGATGAGTCGTCAAAACATTTTCAGCTTCTTTCCATATATTTATTTTTGGTATCTTTAGCGTGCAAATAAAATATCAACGATTTAGGTAATTAGTGACAATTACACGTAGGTTTTGGACTACGAGTAGGCCAATTTGATCGGACAGATTATCATTATGTATATAAAAAATGTGCAAGAAATATTCGTACTTTTAAAAAGTGTGTACATAAATCTTTGTATTGGAAAATTTTATCACATTACATAAAAATAAAAACAAAAATAAAAATAAAAAGGTACCAACCCAAATGCAACACTAGTACTAACTTTGCTAATTCAATGGTAAATTTAGCAAGCATGAGTTTGATAGATTCAGTAAATTACTCTTATTTTATTATATTATATTATTATTACATTTTATTTATTTTTTGTCATGAAATAAGTATGAGAAGAGATAGGAAAGGTGGGGAAACCAATGCAACACCATTCCTTTGAAGAAATCAGTATGGAGGAAGATGGGGAACAAGAGACCAATTCATGAAACAGATCAAAAGGGCAGAGCCACATACCAAACCACCAAACACCAATGAAATGGAATCATAATTGAAATGTGATAAATGTGCTTCAAGGCATCTACTTTAAGCCAATCTTATTTATAGATCAAAGATTATGTCCCAACACATTCTATTAATAAAAAGCATTGTTAAATAATTATACTTGATAAAATAAAAATAAAAATTGAGAAAGAAGAAGTAGAAAAGATCGAAGAATCATAATTCATTAATTCTCAAAGAAGAATCTTGCAATTATTATGGAAGCGTGATTTCTATGGTAAGAATTTAGGGAGTAAGAAAAACATTATTAATTTTGTATCAAGGACCAGAATAATTGACAAATAATAACATACGCGAGTGAGAGATGAAGGAACCCAGAACGAAAATAGAAATTACAATTCATATGAGGACTCTTAACATTAATAAAGAAGGGTAATAATAGCATTTAAAAATATAAGAATTAATGATTTTAACTTTTGAGACTTTTTTGTAATTTTATTGATTTTAAGTTTTGAGACTTTTTTGTAATTTTATTTTAAGAGAAAAGAAAAGTAGACCGTTAGTGGATATTGTTGGCGCACTATCAGCGGTTGTTTTTAAACACCAAGAAATATTGCATTCTGTATATAACAAGGGAGTTTTTACCCCTTTTTATTCACGCTCCATTCAAATTTTAAATGACAAAAGTTATAGTGTCATACGTTATTAAACATTGTCCTTCTGATCGAATGCACGAAACAAATTAAGATAAATGAAAAACTAGTGGCATAAAACTATAGCTCCAATGGCAAGACATATAACTATAAATTAATTAAGCAAATTAAATTGATTTAATTATTCATAAAAAATAATATAATAGACCATTGAAATGGCAAAGGATGTTTCCATCACAAACGCATCCACCAAATACTTTTAAGATGTTTGAGTTTTGGCCCCAGGTGTAAGAACTGGTAACTGCTTCGCAATATAATAATACATACATATATACATATATATATGTGTGTGTGTGTGTGTGTGTTATATATATGTGATACACAGATATAAGAGGTATACGTAGCAAATTTTTTGGGGCATGTATACGTAGCTCATCCTTCACATTTAAGCCGGTGTGTAATTTATTTGTAAAGAAAAATTAAAAAATTAAAAAAATAAAGAGATATGCTTAACACAACAGAGATTCGAGACCAACAACTTTTCTCAAACAGAAATGGTAGTAGTCTAATTAGGGACGGCGAGAGTGGGAGGTGGGAGACACGAATGTGATGATAGCTAAATGAAAGAAATATAGTTTATTAATGTACTGATTATAAGATGTAGTACATGCTAAATATTTTATGCGACAAAATTTTTTATAATAATGTGTATGAGCAACAAACAAATAATGTTGAATTAATTTGGTACGGTACCTACGACTATTGTTATTGTTATTGTTACCCACCTACATTCTACCAATACATGCACAAAATGGTTTTCACTCATCACACAACTCCACTGCCACCTAAATCACAATTAACATTTCATCATGTCTAATGTAACGGTTTTTATACCATGTATACGCCCAACTAAATTGTGAGGCACCACAAGCATGTTTCAAACTAAAACTTTTGACCATTCCATCTATAAAAATGTTTCTTTATAAAATTATATCAACCATACCTTTAAATTTTGAACACGCTGTAATTATTGAGACCCATCTCGGGTTTCTCACTAAGCTGATTTATGTCAAAATTATTGTGGTATATTTTAGACCGTGTAAGACAATAGACGATTAGGTGTCATCAATTATAGAAATTTTTTATTTTTTTATTTTTTTTACTCTTGATGTATTTTTATCTCAACAAAACAATCACTTTGTTCATTTAGCAAGTTTGAATCCTCTAATTTTAAAGTAGAGCTACAAGACTACACCCTTAATTCTCTCACTTTTGAAATTTACAAACCTCTTCTTTAAAACTTAAACCTAGTCAAATGATTAGATACAAAAAGTTTTGGAGGTTAAGAGTATTGAGATGTAACTGTGATAGCAACTCCCAATAACATTATGGTTGAAGAAAAAGGTAATTAAGGCTATAATGTCACTGAGATTTCCAAATTAAGGTCCTCATAATTCCTTTTAGGCCCCACCACTGTAATTCCTAACCACTAGATTCCATTTGTTAGATAGTGCCCCTACCATGAGATCACTAAAGCAATAATATGCATTTCTTGAAGGGTTCAAGTCCCATTAAGACGAGTGGATAGCGCGCAGTATATACACACACAATAATAATAATGATGTTTATATATAATTTTATAAATTATTATTATTTAAGTTAATAATTTGTACATAGTGTAGGTGTCGTTTGCCAAAACATACATAGAGCTAGGAAGATCTAAAACGAAAAATTGGAAGTGCACACTAAATATGTTAATAATATTAAAATGAAGTATCGTTCTATACTTATTCAAATATGATATACTCCCTTTGTCTCAAAAAAAAAAATTTGTACTTGGAGTTTAAAATTTCGAATTGAATATTTAAAACTTAGAAGAACAAATTAGTAACTTTTTGGGGGAGACAAGGCATGCCCCACATGTTCCCTTCAAAATTCTTACACTCCAAAAGTGACATTTAAATTGGAATAGAGAGAGTATAAAACAAATTCAGAAGCTAACAATTATCAAGAAGTAACTGAAGAATTATTAGAATGTGTTTAGGATTTGTTCTTTTTAAAATAATTATGCATTGGAAAAGTGATTTTGGAACACATTTAAGTTATTTAAAAAAAAAAAAATTAATAAAGTGGAGTGTTATATAGAGAGAGAGATATGTCTATATACATAGATACAACAATTTATATATATATATATATATATATATATAGTATTATATTTGCACAATAAAATCCAAGTTGAGTGACAGTCGCAGTCATGCCAGAAGACAACACTCGGAGCGTTACAAGACATGTAAAGAGCGTCTTGTTGCTAAAAACTGGTTACCCGATTCTTTATCTCGGTGATGGCCGAGGACGTGACCAGTTCCTCCATCGACACCTTACACTTTGACCTCATTAATTTACTAAATTCACTATTTTTATATTTTCTTTTTTGTCCACATCATTAATCATTCGTATTCATCACAACACAAAAACATTCAGGAATCAACGACGCCTGTAAGATTTGCACCTATCTACGTGGCGCAATCATTGCCGTAGTTTCTGGAAAAAGAACCACAGCCAACTCAGCTAATAATATGCTTCCTCTTCTTGTCAACACGTAAATTTCACCTCTCCTCCATACTCCACACATAGGGAGAGAGTAGTAAATATGGTTAGAATAGTAGAACATAAATATATTTCTATATCTATATATATAGATATAGATATACATGATAGTAGCTAGGTAGCTATAATATATATATATATATATGTATAGGCATATTAATTACAGAAGTTTTTGAACAAATCTCAACTACTCTAAGCACGACTAGACGAAAGCGTTGAAATCGTGTGTGGAGATCGGTTGAGAGGTGTTTGTTTTAAGAACATTGAGTCGAAGCGTGTGAAATAAGGCACTATCGTTGCCTTTTTTAGAGAGAGATAAACAGTTTTAAGGTAAGTACTAGTAGGCTGTACAGAGAGAAAAAGATAGAGAGAAAATTACATTTACCTGGAAAATGAGGTCGTCGTCTTCCTTCGGAAGCAGCTCCAGAATATCGAATTATAGCCGTACATTTGATTTGCCGGAAGACTCCAGGGAATACGGCGTCGTGGGAGGTGCAATGTTGCCGATGTTTCTCAACGACTTGAGACCGAACAATGAGCGAGATTTAGTTGAAGTGACATTGGAGCTCGAAGACGACTCCATTGTCTTGTGCAGCGTCACGCCGACTTCGAACGCTAATCCCCCCGCCGGAGAAGAATCGGCGAACGGATTTATGGCCAGGAGTCTGTCGGCGACGTCGAGAATTCGGCGGAAATTCTCTTGGTTGAGACGGTCGTCGTCATCAAGAGCGTCATCGGAAATCGAAGTGCCTACAATCTCCGCACGCGACGCTATGAAAATAAAAGGGCAACTGGCACGGACGAGATCGAGCGCTCGGGAGGCTCTTAATGGCCTCAGATTCATTAGCAGAAACACCGGAAAATCAGATTCGAACGAGTTATGGAAAAAAGTTGAGTCGCGGTTTGAGTGTTTGGCGAAGGAGGAGTTGCTGTGTAGAGAGGACTTCGGTGAATGTATAGGTAAAGAAGCTAATTTAATCACCGTCCACCCAGATTAATCAACGGCTGTGAAATAGTAGGCATGAATTTTGTTGACTTTGTTGTTGTGTTGTTGATTAGGAATGGCCGACTCAAAAGAGTTCGCTTTGGGAGTATTTGATGCACTGGCGAGACGAAGAGGTCACAACATTGGGAAGATAACCAAAGATGAACTTTATGACTTCTGGTTGCAGGTTTCGGACCAGAGCTTTGACGCTCGTCTTCAGATTTTCTTCGACATGTGGGACTCTCTCTCTCTTCTCTCTCTCTCTCTCTCTCTCTCTATATATATATATATATATATATATATTCACACATACACGTCTCTCTCGCTCGTTTTTGGCCTCGTGTCTGGCACTTTAATGCCCTTCATCTCTGTTTCAAGCAAAACAACGGCCTTTGAATCCCAACGGATTCAACCGTGAGGTTTTGCTAGTGCCAAACTGCATTTTGATTATTATGACCCAACAAATAAACTGAAATGTAGTATTAATTGGTTTTAAGACTAAATACCGGTTTTATTTTTATTTTTGCCAATTCTTAGAAAAAGGAAGGGGGGAAATTTGGAGAAAGCAATAACTTAATTGGAAAGAGCAGTTATAATGAAATTATATTAAAATTAGTTATTAACAGAATTAAGTTGGTTTTCAGGGCGGATAGCAATGAAGATGGAAGAGTGACAAGGGATGAAGTGCGGGAGGTAAAGTTGGATGCTCAATTGGTAAACTTATGGAAAACGAAATCAATAAAGTTTTATTTAGGTCAAACAATATTGCAGGTAACATGCGTAAGCCAACATAACTTTGCAAAATTACGGTACTACGTCGTCTAGAATATTTTTCTTGTTTTTCTTAGGGGGTTTAGATTTTGTTTGTAACAATGGTATAGTTAAAATCATGAATGAATGAAGTATTGATTTAATCATGGCATTATAATTGATTTATTTGACCATTTTTTGTAGCTTATAATGCTCAGTGCTTCTGCGAATAAGCTGTCCAAATTGAAAGAACAAGCAGAGGAATACGCTTCATTGATAATGGAAGAACTAGATCCAGAAAATCTTGGTTATATTGAGGTAAAGTAGGTATCCTGTGAATGAATGGTTAATTTTCTAATGACATTCATTCATTATTAATTTATTATTATATACTGTCCCTAGCTCTTTCATACGAGAATTTTGATCTAATCTTTTTCTTACTGGGATTTACTCCTCTACCTGTCTTATTCAAACAAGGTGTTTGTATGTATAAACTATTTTTGGCACACACCCAGTTTTATTATGACCCCAAATTTCTTGACTAAATTATTTACCCATACCCATCCAAAGTTGCTTTCAAACATCTTGTAATTGTTTGTATTTAGCAGCCTCTCCAAGATGACTTATTAGCATAAAGCATTAGTTTGAGTGAGATCTCACCTACCATCCAAATACGAGTTTGAGATTTCAATTCTCAATTGGAAACACATATTAGGTGTGTCTTAACTATATATATATATATATAATTAGATCTTCTCCATTAGGCAAATGTAATCATAATGTCAAAGCCCAATCCAATCAAGACACTTGTATGTATTATACACCACTAAACACCCTCCTCCGTGAAAAATTGCGAGCACCGAGAGCGAGAGAAGAATTTACAAAGCGTATACACAGAGTTGATGAGTTAGCGTGAACAAGCCCATGCTGATAAAACAGAATCTCAAGTCCTATAAAAAAGTGATTGTGACGTCCAACAGGGATGGATCCCTGGGAGAGAGGTGGTTGCCTTGCCCCGGGTGGGTTGATGGTTAGTTACCAGTTACCAGTTACCACCAAATATTATGCTGACTTCAAGGGCTGGGCTAGGCTGAAATGGTTTATACATGAACATCCTTGTTTGCATAAGACAAAAATGGGAGAAAATCCCTTCATTGCCCTTTATTTCAGTTATGGCAGTTGGAAACACTTCTTCTACAAAGAGACACCTACATGAACTACAGCAGGCCTCTCAGCACAGCTAGTGTAGGATGGAGCCAGAACTTGGGGACGTCCAGGCCCAAGAATGTGGTGCGCAGGGCAAGCTCCAAACTCAAGTCCCTGGTATTAGAGAACTGGCAAAGAGGTTGGATCTTGCTGCTCTGGTTCATGGCCATGGCTGCTCTATTCGCATGGAAGTTCAATCAATACAGGGATAAAGCAGCATTTCAAGTCATGGGTTATTGCTTGACAACCGCTAAAGGGGCCGCAGAAACCCTAAAGCTCAACATGGCTCTCATCCTTTTGCCCGTGTGTCGGAATACGTTGACGTGGCTCCGCTCCACAAGAGCCAGGCTATTTATCCCTTTTGACGACAACATCAATTTTCACAAGGTAGCACACTTCATACTCATATTTATTTGTTTATGCGTTTCATTCTGTGAAACAAATGATAGTGTTTCAACCAATATTTTACATACTTTGCTTACTGTGGCTGCAATTACAATATTGTGAACTATACAAGAAAACAAAGGCATGACTTCTGAGAAATCAAATTCATCCTTGCTTTTAAAATATGGTCCTCCACATGCATATATCCCTTCAAATTGTTTGTGTCTCATTCAAGCCCACTGATTCACTTTCTTAAATGTTTAAACTCACATGCAATGTGTCAGACTTCAAAAGTTTTTACCAGCCCAACCCAACTCTAAATATGGGATGTGTGTCACTTTAAGCTCCCAATATAACCAGTTACATATAGAGGTACATGATAAAGAGTATCAACCAACCAGTCAATTCACCATTCTTAAATCCTAGAAAAAAATTCAACAATTACCCTGTGCATGTAGAGTGTAGGGTTTGCATGTGTCTAGTGGTGGATTATAGGGCAAAAATTACCAATGTAACCAGTTACATATAGAGGTACATGATAAAGAGTATCAACCAAGCAGCAATTCACCACTCTTAAATCCTAGAAAAAAAATTCAATAATTACTCTGTGCATGTAGAGTGTAGGGTTTGCATGTATCCAGTGGTGGATTAGAGGGCAAAAATTTTCTAACATTCTCAACACCTTCCTGACATTTTATTCTCTAATTATTTACTTTCAATTTACAGACAATTGCATGTGCTATAGCATTTGGGATCCTCCTGCATGTTGGAAACCATATGTTTTGTGATTTTCCACGTTTGATTAACTCTTCACCAGAAAAATTCGCCACCATAGCCTCTGATTTCAACAACAAAAAGCCCACCTACAAAGACCTATTGACCGGTGTTGAAGGCCTAACTGGGATTTCTATGGTGATTCTAATGACCATTGCTTTCACACTTGCAACTAGACGCTTCCGCAAAAATGTGGTAAAGCTGCCGGCACCATTCAACAGGTTGACGGGCTTTAACGCATTCTGGTATTCTCATCACCTCTTCGGTCTAGTCTACGTGGCGTTATTAATCCACGGAACCTTCTTGTTCTTCGTCCAGAGATGGTATCAGAAAACGGTAAGAACTTGAAGTCACCGCTATTTACAACATTTGCTGTTATTGATATTTAGGAAAACACACTAATTAGGTGTGAGAAACGAATTGTAGATGAAATGCTAGAAACAATACTGAAATCTGGTTGACAGAGTGGATATGTGATGATTTCTGTGTCACTAATGATCCTTTCTCAATTTTCCAGACATGGATGTACATCTCTGTTCCTCTTTTCCTCTACATAGCAGAGCGGAGTTTGAGAACATGTCGATCAGAACATTATACGGTAAAAATTTTGAAGGTAAGACTGTCATTAACCTATGTTGTCTTCTCTAAACTAAACTCAACGATCCTACCATCCAGGATTTCCAAAGAATAACATATAGCGACTTAATAATTCTACGACCTCGATAAGGATCATTCTAAGAAACTAGTATAATAATATTTCTTGCTTCGAATAACTTCTTGACATCAATTACAGCAATCACAGGCATTACTAGCTGCTACAATTTTAGCCCCTCCATGTATAAGTTCTCAAGACCGTCTGCAATAGCACCGACAATATGTGCAATTAGTTAAATTATAAGAGGTTCTTGCAGGTTTCAGTTCTACCAGGAGATGTCTTCAGCTTAATCATGTCCAAGCCAAATGGGTTTAAATACAAAAGTGGGCAGTATATGTTTCTACAATGTCCTACAATCTCCCCATTTGAATGGTGAGTGTGATTTTGCTGGGCTTCCAGCTCCCATTCCATTTAATGAAATGGGTGTCGTGCCGAAGCATTAAAATAACCTCTCGAGATATCTACAGGCATCCATTTTCAATAACTTCAGCACCAGGAGACGACTACCTCAGCGTTCACATCCGGACAGTGGGAGACTGGACGCAAGAACTTAAGCGAGTATTTACCGAGGATAATGGTTCAGCGTGTGTGATTGGTCGAGCAACGTTTGGACAGCTTGGGTACATGGATCAGAGAGGGTAAGTTCATCGCATTAATTTTACAAGCCAAAATTTATATTCAGATTACTTTCTATTGAAAAGTCTTCTCAACATAATTCATTGGTGCAGTCTACCCAAACTGCATGTCGATGGACCCTATGGTGCTGCAGCACAGGACTACAGAAACTATGATGTGTTACTTCTTGTGGGGCTTGGCATTGGAGCTACTCCTTTTATAAGCATCCTCAGAGATCTATTAAACGATACAAGAACAGCAGAAGACCAAGTGGTACAATTTATACTAAGGAGAATTATTTTTCTAAATCAATGGCATCGTTCTTAATATCCAAATTATGATATCTGTTGTGTGCTGTGGCTTAGGATTCAAACACAGAAACAAGTATATCAGATGATAGCCTGACTAGTTTTGCCTCTTCAAGTATAACATCAAGTGGAAAAAAGAAATCCCAGAGAACAACAAATGCACATTTCTATTGGGTAACTAGGGAACATGGGTCTTTCGAATGGTTTAAAGGAGTTATGAATGAAGTTGCAGAATTGGATCAAAAAGTATATGCACTTACTTTTTATTATTTATTATTTACCCATTATGGTTGATTGTGTTACCTCTCTTTCTTATAATTACTTCGAAACAGGGTCAAATTGAGATGCACAATTATCTTACGAGTGTTTACGAAGAAGGTGATGCAAGGTCAACCCTAATCACCATGGTCCAAGCTCTCAACCATGCCAAACATGGTGTTGACATCCTATCTGGAACCAGAGTATGATCTATCATTATTTTACATTGAACATGAAAATTTTAATATTGATAATTCAATAGTTCTACAACCACCATTTTCTATCAAGTAATGGAGGGCAATCATGGCACTAATAAATTCATTAAAAAAATAGGCATTTTATATGACAGTTTCGGTACAGTTAATGATCCTAATAGTATATAATATATGAAGTCAACTTTGTTGCAGGTAAGGACGCATTTTGCAAGACCAAATTGGAAAGAAGTGTTCACCAAAATAGCTTCAAAGCATCCATACGCCGTCGTAGGTAAAAAAAAAAAAAAAAAAAAAATCAAAAGAACAAAACTATCGTACAAACATATGCATGTGAAACAAGTAGTATCTTCATAACTTTAACTTCATTTTTTCATACCTGGACCTAAGTTATAGCATTTAAAGTTGTTCCCAGCTCATTGATAACCATCTAATTCTACCAACTGCCAACTGAAAATTCGTAGCATTTTAGGAATTAGGAGTAAAAGGTCATGACAGAGAGATCATTAGTCATGTGATTAAAGAGGAATCCTACCAATCAAAGCACATGCGCACAATACTTCCATGGATGTCCAATTTTACAAAGGTGATAACCAGAAGAAGACTGGGAACATCTGATCAGACATTCTGAACCTAGGGTCATATAGACGGTCTTGTGAAAAATACACACACACACACACACACGAGATATTAAAGATTATTGTTTAATTATATGAAGGATTGACAATCTGCAGGAGTGTTCTACTGTGGGATGCCAGTGTTGGCAAAGGAGCTCAAGAAGCTATCACATGAGCTGACTCGCAAAACATCTACAAGATTCGAGTTCCACAAGGAGTATTTCTGAAGAAAGTATCTGCCACTAAGAAGACGAAGCTGTTTTTTTCTTTTCTTTTTTATTTTGTAATTATTCAAATGATTCGGAGGAATATATATTACTACTTAAGAATATAAATATACCCATATACATGTATATGCATATATTACATTGTTGATCAAGTCAAAATACAAACTAGATATAAAGGTTTCTATCCACTTCAACATGCCTAATTTTCTTGGCAAAGTATTGGAGTTCTGTTTATTAATTATACCCACATTCTCTCATACTAAAAGGAATAAGTTTCACATAAATACTTAATTCGTAAGACATTTCTTTCAACAACCCAACTCCTCCCTCCCCCCCCCCCCCCCCCCCCCCCCCCTCTCTTTTCTCCTTCACTTACCATCTCTCTCTTCTTCTTCTTCTATTTTCTTTTCTTTTCATATATATAAAATTCAATCCACATCATCCAATCCATTTAGACAACAACTTGTCTCTTGTACAAAACAAAAATGATGAGAATGGTATTTTCAAGTATCATGAAGAATTGAGTTATAGAACACAATCATTTTTTAGATGAAGACAGTAATAGCTGTTCAGCACAAAATTCAATCTGTTTGAAACACATGATACTGAATGCCAAGAATCTAACGTTTTAATAATTGCAAATTGTTTGAGAATAGCTTGTTTACAAAGGGAAGCCATATATATTGAATCAAACCTGCTGTATTGTAAGCGCATTCATGTTCGGATGATATAGATGATTACAGTGAATGGGCATGAGAATCTGAAGATCAGACGCCCTTAGTCATCCTTCAATCTCCTGAGAACTTTTGAAGCCCAGCGTTTGACACGTCGCTTAAGAGTGAAACCAACGACGACTCCAGCAACAAAGAAAATTGCACAAAGCTTTGAGCAGGTCCATAGTGATACGACTTGTCTGCGATTAGATAAATGCAGTTTAATTAAAAGCACATTTACAATGCTGCCTATAGAATCTTCCAGTTTCAATATATATATATATATCATTGAAAAAAACAAAATTATAAATAAATGAAAAAATAGATGAAAGGAATAGCAATTTAGAAGAGGGTGAACTCTTCTCCTAAGCAACAACATTCCATGTATTCAATTTATTTTAGCATACATGATGACTTTGCTCAGCACAAGTGCAAATCGTCTCCATCCTCCCTCCCTCTCTCTCTCTCTCTCTCTCTTCTTTTTTTGCTTTTTTTTCTTTTTTTATGGCACGTCTTTTTAAAGATTCAAACATCATATATCATCTTATCACATGAAAGGAATTACTCTTACTTGAATTTCCTTCCTAATCACCACATCGGTTTGAGTTTACAAAACCACCACCACCCCAAAACTTTTCCCAACTACTTGGGGTTGGCTACATGAATCCTATGTTTCCATTCCGCTCTTAACAAAGTCCATAACCCGAGCCAAACTACATGCTATCATATCCTTCCTATATGAACATTGGTTTGAGTTCATATAATTCATCATCCACATCCCACACATCTCTCATTGCTATACCAACATAATAGTTACAAATGTGATGATAAATGCCACACCTAACAGCAACAAAATTGCTCTTTCCAATATTTAATTATTCACTTTTCAAGTAACCAAATTTCTACGTTAAACATGCTTCAATCATTACTCGCATATAAGTTACTTGAACAAAGTGAGAACAAAAATCTCTCAGGGTAAACAAACTATTTCAAAACATTTTGCCTGTCTTCTAAATTTTGAAAGGAAAAAAAAAAAAAAAAAAAGCATTTGCTGCTTGTAAACTTTTGAAAAATGAAGAAAAGGGCCAAAAAGATCAAAAATATGAAAAAGAAATACTTAAACAAACAGACCTTAAATGTTAGAGAAGCTTAACATTTTGTTTTTTAAAAGTTCAGCAAATGTCTTTTTCTAACAAGTAAAAAGAGAAAAACTTCTGCAATCACGGAAGGGTTGTAAATACATATCACAGTAAAAGAAAAACACATAAATATAACAAAACTACAACCATGTAACCCCAAAATTCTACAGACATTTCAAAATATAACTTGTTGAAAGCCAAAAATAGAGGGATCTCAGAAATATATTGTCCAACTCAACCACTAGAATTTCCACTCATTCAAACAATCATCTATTCGCTCCGCCCTAATACTCTACAAGAATAGACACACTGCTATTCACTCTTCATTCACACTCTCTCTTTTTCAACCCTCTAAGGCCTTAACAAACAATCTAGACACCAGTCTATCACCCATTGAATTCAAAAAGGGGAGAATCACAATAATTCATCTCTCAAGCATACACAATTAGCTTAAAAACTATAAATGTCATACTAATATACAATAAAAAATGCTAATAGACTGACATACCATTTTTTCAATGCTTGAAGCATTCAACATGTTATTAATCGGCTAGGTAGCAATTTAAATAAGCACTGTTGCTAGAGCTATTTAGTAGCTCCGCAGTGTTTCAAGCAAAAAGCCCGACAAACTGCATCAAATGTCAGTTTAGGCAATTCAATCAGTTCATCGTAATCATCCCAGTTAAATTTAACTGTATTATAGGTCTACTACAAAACCAAAAGCTTCCAAACAATGCTAACCTTGACGGCAACTAAAATAGTAACTATGCATAGGAACCACAAAAAATCACAACTTCAAATATTGTTTCAGAAGGAACTCAAAAATCCAAAATTAATTCACTCATTTAATCACATTCATGCTTGTGAAATTTTGGTTCAGTATAGTAAGTGAAGTCAACAAAAAAGTAAGACCACAATGAACAATGCAAATTTTGCAATTAAGTATTATTACAAGATCAAAAATAAATGAATTCCAGTAAAACCAAAGACCACAAATTTAAGAAATTCATTAGTTATTTAGTATTAAAAGCGAACAGAACTATAATTAGTTATCTAAGGTTCGACTCCTCTTGGATGCAAACAATTCTTCGGAGGGGCTGTGAGTACCAACTAGGAAGAACAAAAATCGCGAACAGAACCCCATACTTGCACTGCTCAAACAAACTTAGAAAAAGAAAACAAAAAAACATGGAAGATTACTAGTATAATACACATACAGAGGGAAAGTACCTGGGAGGTCTGGTGATTAGAACCCTAGAACTGTCTGTTGACAAAGCGTCCACTCCAGAAGGTTTGTTGAATGAGGAAGAAGAAGAGCCATTTTTGGCGTCTTCATAAAATGTACGGAACGTTTTCTGTAATCCCTCCATCAAATTAACACAAAATTTCTAAACTCAAACACAAAAGATCAAGGCCCTATTTGCTGCGATTCAATGATTCTGCATCTGGTGATCATGTTAGGGTTTTTAAAGGGTTTTGGGGCTTTTAATCAACCCGCTCAACTCAGCACATCATTGCTGTGCTGATGATGAACGGTCAAGATTATCTTTAGGGAAAAATCACATAAGTCACATGTACTATCATTTTTGTTCTAAATGTCCTCACTCAATTTAAACACCCTGAGCTATAAAACGCATTGTCCCTGAATCGATATAAAATAACAAAATTGTCTTTATAATTTAATTATTAAATTTAAAACTTATAATATTATTATAAAATTACAAAAATACCCCTATCTTCCCAACATGTAATTTAAAACAATTGAAGTCGGTGGCTGCAACATGGGTTTAGAAGTAATTCTTAAAATTCAGCTCAATTGCAAAGAAAAAATTTAAAATTATACGGATCTATATATATAATATAAACACACACACATATATATATATAAAGAGAGAGAATGAGAGAAAGATGAACTGACAATCTCCATTAAAGCAGTGTAAGTGATGATGAAATAAATTGAAGAGGCAATCATGAACAGAAGCTTTGCATCCGCTCATAGGGTACTCCGAGAAAAAAATCCAACACGGTACTTAATAGAATTGGGATACAAATAAAGGGACAGGGGTAGGGAGGACTTAAATCAAAGTAGTGTCAGGTAGAGAGAGAAAGCAAAAGTGCAGATGAGAGAAATAAAGAGAATAAAGTTGTATTGAGAGGGTAAAAAGCACATTTGTATTATCACTGCTTTGTGAATTTATACAGAGTTACAATGAGACTATCTATAGAAAGTTTACAATAAATTTAAATTTGAAAAATATGTTAAACTATAGGAATGATAAAAGGCTTAATCAATTCTACACAAAAGTTTCACGTGACCCTAAGATTATGGAGGAAATAAGGAATGTGCTGGAATGAATTTTGCTTGATTCAAGGAAGACCCATTATCATCTATACGCTCCCGCAAGATGGTGCTTCCATTAGAAATACCAATCTTGGATCGTAAGAGTGAAAATTGTTGCCTTGAAAGAGGCTTTGTAAGAGCATCATCAAGTTGATCAGTTGTGGATACATGAGAAACTTGAAGCAATCCTTTGGAGACTTGGTCGCGTACAAAATGATAGTCAATAACAATATATTTCATGCGTGAGTGAAAAACCGGATTAATACAAAGATATATTGCACCAACATTATCACAGAAGATAACAAGAGGTTTTGTGAGTGAGACTGGCCAAGATAATTCTGCTGTAGTGGCAGCAACAGCCCGGTATTCAGCTTCAGTAGAGGATCGAGCAACGAATCTTTGCTTCCTTGAACTCCATAAAATTGGATTACCACCAAGATAAACAATGTAGGCAGTTGTGGAGGTACAGTCATCACGAATTCCAGCCCAGTCGGCATCAGAATAAGCATGCAAAAAAGGAGTAGCATGACGTTTGAGAAAAAGACCATGATGAATAGTTCTTTTGAGGTACCGAATAAGCCTTTTGGCAGCAGTCCAATGTATCTGAGAAGGCTTATGCATGAATTGTGAAAGTTTGTTAACAGCATAGACGATGTCTGGTCTTGTAATGGATAGATACTGTAGAGCATCAATGACACTATGAAATTCAGTTGGATTAGCAGGTGAAGATCCATCCTGAAGTACAAGAGAGCCCGTAATAGATAAAGGTGTGCTGACCTCTTTTGCACCAGACATGTGAGTGCGGTCCAAGAGGTCTCGAATATATTTGTGTTGGGTGAGAAATAAACCAGTGGAAGTAGAAATGACGTCAACCCCAAGAAAGTAGTGTAAAGCCTCCAAATCTTTGACATAAAATCGGGTAGAAAGAACATGAATAAATTGAGTAATAAATGAGACATTATTGCCCGTCACAATGAGATTATCTACATAAACTATAAAATAAACAAGAATATGATTGTGTGAATACATAAAAAGAGATGTGTTTGATTTAGAGTTAGAGAAACCATAGGAGAGAAACATTGTACCATGCACGAGGCGCTTGCTTGAGGCTATAAAAAGCCTTGTGAAGTCGATACACATGAGACGAGAAGGTAGGATCAAGGAAACCTGGGGATTACAACATGTATACCTCTTCAGATAAAGTGCCATGAAGGAATGCATTATTGACATCAAGTTGTCGAATAGGCCAACCACGAGCAAAAGCAAGGCTAAGAACAATTTTGATAGTAGTAGGTTTAATAACTAGACTGAATGTCTCCTTATAATCAATACCAGGGCGTTGATGAAAACCTTTGGCAACTAGACGGGCTTTGTAGCGATTAATGCTACCATCAGAATGTCTCTTAATACGAAAGACCCATTTGCACCTAACAACATTCTGATCTGGGTGAGGAGGAACAATGTTCCAGTTTCCATTTTGAACCAATGCATTAAACTCATCAGACATGGCAGAACGCCATTTTGGATCACGTAATGCTTAAGAGACACAAGTGGTTCCAGAATATGGTGTTTGGAAGTGGCATGAACTTGCTTCAGTTTAAAAGTCTGATTTTGGGAACGGGTGACCATTTGGTGAGTGCGGGTTGGTTGTGGTTTAAGGGAAGAAGGCTGAAGGGATGTTTCTTGATATGTAGGAGGTGAACTAGACAAGGGGGAGGATGATGAGGAGGGATATGAGTTAGGGGAAGAAGCGTGAGGTACATCATTATGAGGCATCGGTGGCGGAGATGCAAGTTCCATAATAGGATGCATGGGAGAAGACAACCCTGGTGAATCATTGTGTGAGGAGCTATGAGAGACTGGCACAGGAAAAAGTATGGGACTGTTGGTTGCAAGAGAAATAGAACTAGGAGATCACATAGAGATAATGGACATACTTTGTGATGAAGAGGATAAAACCATACATACTTTGTAAAATGATCCACAAAAATGATATAAAAACTGAATCCTTCCATTGAAGTTACTAGAGCAGGGCCCCAAACATCAGTGTAAATTAGATCAAAAGGACCACAACTATGAAGGGAGGACATACCAAATGGGAGCCTATGGCTCTTATTACATTGACAAGAATTACAAACTGAGGAAGCATGAAATAAAGAAGACAAGCATGAGTTATGTCTAAACTTGAACCATCACCTATAACTATCTCATCAGGCCCTTCTACTCAGAGTGAAGGGAGAGGTTGCGTAAATCAGTGGTCACATGGTGTGAGGCACCAGAGTCAATAAGCCAATTTTGATTGATTGGTTGTGAGGCTGAGACGCAATTCGCAATGGGTTCTTGAAAATGAGTGGATCGTGCACGACAACACTGTTTGGCTACATGACCATGTTGGTCACACAATTGACAAACAACTTTAGAACCTTGGCTGCCTTGGTTTTGGTTTCCATTTTGGCGACGGTGTGAGTTGGAGTTTGGTCGTTGATTGAAGTTGGGCCCTTGATTAAAGTGACCTTGAAATTAGTGGCCAGAATTTTTGCCATTTCTGTTGCAGGTGTTCCCATTCTTTGAATGAGAGTTGTTGCTACCAGAATGGGGAGTGTAATTCGCCGTTTTGGGAGACGGATCTCTACGAGTTTCTTCTCTTTTGGAAAAATCCTCATATTCCACCAGTTTATCATGGAGCTCCTCAAACGTGATAGGATTTTCACGTGCTCGTACAGCTGCTGCAATTTCCTTGAACTTAAGTCCAAAGCCATTGAGAGAATGAATAATGATATCATCTTCGGCTAAGGGAGCATCAATGAGAGCTAGCTTATCAGATATTCCTCTGATAATCTGTAGATACTCAGCCACTGGCCTAGAGCCTCAAAGAGTAAGGGTGAGTCATTCCTTAAGGTGCATCACCCTTGATCGTGACCTGTTAGCATAGAGTTTGACAAGTTTTTCCCAAGCTTCATGGAAGGTCTTTGAGGATGCAATAAATGACATGACAGTTTAGGACATTGAGGCGATGATAGCATGCAACAACAGCTTATCTTTTTGTGAGGATTTTCCATCCTTCAAAAGGGTTTTTGGGTGGACATGATTGTGTGCCATCAATATAGCTCATCAAATCATATCCAAGAAGTAAGGAATGAAATTGGGCACGCCATGAGGGATAGTTCGAAGGTGTAAGTTTGAGAGGGAGTTGGGTAGCGGCATTTATTGAAACTAGGGTGCTGTCTATACAAAGTGGATTGGAGGAAGAAATAACAAGAGGGGTAGAGGTATTTTGAGAAGCTTCTTCAGCCATGGAACAGACTTCTGTTTCTTGCTCGTTTGAGCTTTTTTTTGCTCTGATACCATAAAGAGAATAAAGTTGTATTGAGAGCGTAAAAAACACACTTGTATTATCACTGCTTTGTGAATTTATACAGAGTTACAATGAGACTACCTATAGAAAGTTTACAACAAATTTAAATTTGAAAAATATGCTAAACTATAGGAGTGATAAAAGGCTTAATCAATTCTACACAAAAATTTCACGTGACCCTAAGATCATAGAGGAAATAAGGAATGTGCTGGAATGATTTTTGCTTGATTGGAGGAAGACCCATTATCATCTATAAGAGAAAGAGGTGCCAATTTTGTGTTGCAATTGCGAGCTTTATCAACTTTAATTTTTTTAATTTTTTAATTAATCTCTGTCACTGTGACACTGTCAAAGCAAATCTTGGTAGTTGAGGGTGCACCAATCGGTTGGGTCACTGAAATGAATAGAAATTGTGAAGCTTTTGGTTTTGACAATGGTGAAGCTTTTTGGTCTCGCCCTTTTTCTTCTCTCTCAAACTTGCTCCATTGAAGTACCTTCAGCCATTTTTATACTCAGTCAATGAAATCCGGCCAGTTCTCTATTGAAAGCTCTCTCTCATATTTCTTCTGCATCTTTCCTGGGTTTTGGTCTTTCATTTCTTTGGCATTTTGATCTTTCTATCTCTATAATCACAGAAGTTCAAAGACAGAATAAAAAGAACGGCAAATTAACCAATAAACTAATCCAGCATGGATCGAACTTCAACTTAGTATTATATATAAATAAAACATCTAAATATTCTTATCTAAAATATCCCAAGACCCATTTAAGATTTAAGCAAAACAAACTAATAGAAATACTTAAAATTTGAACTTTGGGTCTTCATAACCACATAAGTTCAAAGGCAGAGAAAAGAAAAAATAACAAATTAACCCAAAAACAAATCCAGCAAGAAACAAACTTCAACTCGGTATTTGGATATATAAATAATACATCTACACATCTACTAAAACAACCCAAGACCCATTTGAGATTCAATCAAAACAAACTAATAGAAATACCAAAAATTTGTACTTTAGGGGTTCATAACCACATAAAGTTCTAAAACAAAGAATAGAAAGAACCCAAATTAACCCAAAACAAATCCAGAAAGAACCAAACTTCAAATTCCACGACAGGGTACATAAACAACACATCTATATATACCATCTACAATACATATATATACATACATGTGTTTGAAAATAACTTACCAAACAATGCCGTAATCACCTCTACCGATTGGTCTAATTATGATTTCTGTAAAGGACCAAATCGAATGGCACATAGAGATGGTGGTGTGACAGACACTGTCACTGGTATGGTGGCCGGCGAGGAAAGAGAAAAAAGGTATTTATGTCTTTTCAGTACATTGTTTTCATCGACCCTAGGTGTTGAAGGAAGAAGATTCAAGGATATTTTTGTAATTTTATAATAATATTATAATTTTTAAATTTAACAATTAAATTATAAGAGTAGTTTTGTCATTTTATATCAATTTGGGAGTAATATGATGACGTTTTATGGTTAATTTTAGTGGGAATATTTTGGACGAAAGTGATAATACTTGGGGGTTATTTGATTTTTCTCCTTATCTTTATGAAAATGAAGGAAAAAAGAAAAAAAAAAAGGGTAAATTGCAGTGACACCCCTTGGGTTTGCTTAAAAAACAAGTAAATACAACTTAGGCTATTTTTGGACATTGACACCCTTCAAGTTTGCAAACTTGGACAATAACACCCCAAATATGATGAAAGTACATGTTTACCTTTTGACCACCCTTTGACCACGTAAAATGACCAAAGTAGCCTCAACCAAAATACACAACCACCGTAACCTCACTCACCACCACTGTTACACAAAACCTAACAACTAAAAATTACATATATACACAAAATGTAGGGTTTCAAATTACACACATGTCCATAAATTACATGATTTTCGTCTCTATCAAATTTTGCTCACTCTGTATTTTTTTTAGAGATATAATCTCCTTGAAATTAGTATACAGTGAGTAAACAAAAAAAAATAATAATAATCAATAGCAGACACATTGTAGCACAGACACCCAATTCATGCCTTCCACATCGTCGGTGCAGTTCATTATTCACCATCAATTGCAACCCCAACCACAGTCCTAATCAAAAGAACTGAAAGCCAAGCTCTACACCGGCCGAGCCGATCAAAGCTGAGCTCGTCGCCGCCTCCATCACAGCCGACATCCTCCACGGCCGAGCCCATCAATGCTGAGCTCGCTGCCACATCCATCACAGCAGACACCCTCCACGGCCGAGCCTATCAAAGCCTAGCTCGCCGCCGCCTTCTGTTACCACGTCGCCACCACCACCTCTATCTTCTACTACCTTATCGCCGGTCACACCTCACGCACAAAAACTGCAGCGGCCAAACACCCAAAATCCCGTAGCCAATCACCCCTCTTATTCTTCACATCCAGTCCCAAACTGTGGTTCAACAACGGCGATAGCGACATCGAATAGAGGGATTGTCGAATCAAACAAAGGGATTCACCCACGACCTTCGCCTCTACCACCCCACCACCACATCTTAATCGCGACCTTCGCCCCACCACCACATCTTCACCACGACCTTCGCCGCCGCCACCCACAACCTTTGCTGCCACCACCCACATCTTCACCCACAACCTTCGTCGCCACCACCACCCGATGAGATGAGAGGGGTTGAAAGACAGATGAGAGTCTGGCCAAATAGGGATTGAAAATATAAAGATAAACAGAGGGTAGTTTGGTCATTTTGTTAGAGAATTAAAATAAAACTTAGGGCATATTAGACATTTCATGTCAATTAAGGCCGTGTTTGATTTCTTTTTTTATAAAATGGGGTGTCATTGTTTAAGTTTGGGAATCTAGAATTGTCATTGTTAAAAAATGACTTAAGTTGTATTTACCTTTTTTTTAAGCAAACCTGAAGGGGGTTTCACTACAATTTACCTAAGAAAAAAAAGAAAGAAAGAAAGGTAAATTACATTTAGGTTTGAACAAATTACACACTAATAAACCACGTCTTAACGGGTTCGCTATAGTTAGTATGCGACGAAAAGTATGTAATGTCCTTATATTATAATAAATATATCACTATAGTGAAAATATTATCTTTTCATATAAGAAAAGGGTAAAAAAAAAATTCCGCGTTTGGTTCAATTTTATAACAGAAAGAAATGAAATAAAACCGGTCTTCTTTAAAAATAATTTTAGAGTTTTAGAGTTCTTAAAAATAATCTTAAGAAAATTAAACCAGATATATCACTCTCCTCTAAAGTTTGAATTATCTCCTAGTCTATTTTGTCCAAGTTTTTAATTAGAGTGTAATGGAAATCTTAAATTTGCGGCCCATTTGGTGACCCGTAATGAAGCTGATTGGGTCGCTTAATTGGTCTGGGCTCACTTAAAAACGTATTGGACCTGCTCTAAATAGTGTAATTTTTTTTTTTTTTTTTTACATCATGCCTTTTACCTATGAAGTACAGTAGTAAACAGAGCTTTAAAAAAGTCGATGTCTATTTAATTATCCCTAAAATGTTTGGCCTGTTAAGCCTTAGAATGCGATTTGAATTCTGAAAGTGAAACCATATACAATTAAAGACAACAGTTAAGTTTGTATTCAATTTGTCCTATTCAGTACTCTCAAATCTTAATTAACAGAGTATACTTAATAATTAGAAGACATTTTATATTCCACTGGTAGATTGAATAATTAAAGAGAGAAATACCCATATAAACAAAGGATTGAACCATGAATATATATTCTAGTATTATAAATTTCTGAAGAGGTACAATGTAAGAATGTAAATGCTTAAGTAATCTACTCCGAAACATTTTATTCGTATACCAATTGCTATGTATTATTTTGTAACAAAAAAAAAAAAAAAAAATTTAAAAATTTGAATTAAGGCATTAACATCCATATAGTTTCATATATATATATATATATATATATATATATATATATATATATATATATATATTCATTTTTCCTCTTCGTAATCTTTACTGTTGTAGGGGCTAAATGCTTCTGCAAGCCAGTTGTTCTTTCTCCAAGACGCCCAACCCATGTCTTCACATATTTCATCAGTGTGGTTGATACTGTAAGTAGAAATGCAGTGCCTCTTATAGAACCTGGTTGTCCTCTTCATTATCTCCATCTCTTGACTTGTTTGTTGAAGCATCTTCTCCACACTTGGGAGCTTGAATTCATCATCTACAAGTCGACCCAACCATCTGCACCTCATCTCTGCTGTGTGCAGATTCGAAACACTCTCAATGAATCCCACAAATGCCATGTTCGGAATCAATGGATGAATTGTGCCCCTGCCCAATAAAACCAACCAAAAAAATTAAACATATTTCGATATAGAACCTACAATTATAGGTTAGGTTGAGTGTTCGAGCTCTGATAGGGGCAGTACGTATTGTGCAATTACCTGTACAATGGCATCATGCCAGAGGGAAATTCTATGAGACTGCGAAAAGGCTCCGGTAATATGGTTTTGAGCTTTTTCTTGCCATCAAATCCAGTGGCATAAACCACAACATCAGCCTCCAACCTAGTGTTGTCTTCAAATTCTACTCCTCCTTCCCAAAACCACCATTTTGATGCTTTTTTGAACACAATCTTTCCCTTATCAGCCTCTGAGAAAAAGTTCTCTGGCAAGATAGCCATCTGACAAGACGCGTAGTCTTCTTCAAATGGGTGATCTGGTTTCAGTCCATACTTGAGCAATGGAAGCTTCCATACCAAATAGGATTCAATAAACTTTGACACAGCTCGTCTCTGTCAAGAACCATTGTAGAAAGGCCAAAGCCTAATTAGCATTAGTCTAAACAAATTGAGTAATTACTTAACATTAATGTGTTGTAAGAAAGGGAAATGTATATATATATATATAATATATATATACTTACTGCAGGAGATAATAGATGGCATAGGAGGGTCCTGAAAAGACCTTGGTTTGGTCTTTCATGGAGGTACTGAGAAAATCTTGTTGAATAGAACAAGTAAAATGGCAAACCCCAAACCCAATAATGTGGAACGGTCCAATGCAGAGTCCTTACTACCATGGTGCATGGTTTGCCTTCTGGTCCTTCAATAAATACAGTCACACCAATATAAAATACTTGTGAATTTCCCTGAACATAAACTCTACTGGAAAAAATAATGAAAATAGAAAAATAATTATTGATTTAATTTCCATTGCAGCTATAAACTGAATATTCTTTGAGACTATAATTTAAAGAAATTAAGCAAGAAAACTAAGCTCCCTTTAAATAAAAACATTTAATTTTAAATATAATTTATAAAATAAAACAAATTTTTTATTTTTATCTTGCTAAGAAATTTATACACCCGTTGCTTCTACACAGACATGGAAGCATTAAGGCTCAGTTGGGGGCACCGCCCGTACTGAAACTCTTTTTATTTGCAAAATTACCTATATATTTTGTAAATATATTTAAAGTGTCTTTACTTTTTTGTAAAATTTTTTAAAAATACTCCCACTTAATTTTTAATGATACTTCATTATATATTATTAATAGTATATATTATTATTGTTCAAGATCGATCCCTCAAACACAATTCTCTAATCGCGGTCCATGCTCCTATGTAGACTTCTGCATATACACATGTATATATGAAAGTTATATATCTATCGCTTTCTGCATATACAAATACCTTAGTTTTTCACGTGAAAATTACCAAATCTACCCCACCCCTAATTTCTTCAAATGAAGAATTTTTAATGGACAGTAGTATAATAGCCGAATAAGGAAATAACTGGAACAGGTCGCAAAACCCAAATTGGCTTTCTTGAAAAATATAAGCAGTTTTCAAGGTCGCGAAAGTTTGACCATAATTTTTTCTTGTGGTAAATATTAATTGGGTGTAGTGGTGTACAATGAATTTTTAAATATAGAACAAAAAAGGGAAATAAAGCCCGTTGTAGTATTTGTTTGTGTGTGTGTGTTGAGGGGGGAGGCCTTAAGTGCCATATATATATATATATTTTATTAGTTGTCACCGAAGTCCAAATCAAATACCGTGGAATTCCAATTGTGTGCTCTAGAAATTTTTTTTTTTTTTTTGGATGACTCAGGAACTCCTCCACGCAAGGCCCCTTAGGGACCCACCGTGAGGTACAAACCTGGAGGTGGAGCCCTGTCCAAGGACACCTTCGGGTGAGTCCGAAAACGCAGAGGTTAGGAGTCGAACTCGGACCCCTTATGTGAAAACCCAAGCTCTAACCATCACTCCTATGCCAGCTGGGGCTGCTCTAAAAAATTCTGAAAACAAGTGTTTGTGTCAAAACATCACACACTTCATTGTCAGTTTTCACACTTTGGCCACGTACAGCCTTTTCCCACGTTTTCTACTTCCAGTATTGACCTTTTTTTTTTTTTTTGTAAGTGAAGGTTCCAGTATTGACTCTCATAATCAAAACCATGCATACTTCTTTACATATCACAACGTAGAAAATAGTGATTAGTCACACTAAAACGACCTATTCCTTGGTCAAAATTGCCCCTATTCTCCGTGGAAAAAACATTAAGATACAAACATCAAGTAAATTAATGGTTCTGGTTTTACGACAGATTTTTTCAAAGAATATAACTAAATTCAAGTTGTTGGCCTGCCTTTGTGGGCCCGAAACGAAACAACACGGACAAGAAAAATCAATAAAAATTAGACTATATAAAATTCTAGTATATTATACTAATTTTTCCCCAAAAAGATTATAAAAAACCGAATTTATTATTCTAAAAAGCCTTGTGAGAATATCAATAAGTATGAGCAAAATGATCAGACTTTATGGCATCGCATACACCCACCCACCTACACATAGATGCCAAATAGTGACAATGATATTAGGAATAATAAGAAAGCAAAAGTTATTATTATATATATTTAACTTCAAAAAAAAAAGTCATTGTATTTGTTGAACCAAAAATTCATTTTGGCTATGATTCATTAGATAATACCTTTTGCTTGTCCTAAATTAAACATGAAAAAAAAAAAAAAAAAAATTGTAAAATTTTATTTTTTCTGTACTAACCATAAGCAAAATAAATAATGTGGAAGACACATTTAACTATCATGTGAGAAAATAGAGAAAAATATAAAAGAAAAGGCATAACAAAAATGATAAACAGAGTTGTTAGTTGTGTTGTGTGGCTGTGTTTGTTTGAATAGATGTTAAAATAATTACCTTGGTTTGCTTCTGCACATTCAACAGCCAAATCTATAGCTGATTTCTTGTAGCCAACGACTACAACTTTCTTTCCCTTAAGTAGTTGGGTAGAGGCTTCTTTGTCGAGTTTGCAGTAATCAAGAGTATGCAAAACCTTTCCTCCATATATTTCAGGTCCTTTTTTCTGAGGGAAAACTGGTCCTTTTGGTACATCGCCATATTTCCCCGTGCAAACCACAAGAAATTCAAAGGTATACCACTGAAATGATCGAAACAAAATAATTAATATATAAGCAATATTTTGTTACTTTATCACTACTGTGCTGTATATATGCATAAATATAATAATAATGATGCATGTATACTTAGTACTGCAAATTATTGTCACTTTTTTTTTAACAAGCTAGGCTTACTTTTTAGTACCAGGAGGAGTTAAGGTTTGGGCACACATATGATTGTATCCAAATAATTCAGTTGATTAGATGAAGTAAGTATATTAGAGGATGCATGTACAACTTTGCTAAAACTTCACATAGATAAGCAAAATATTATACCCTACGGCAACGTTTGTTTGGATGTAAAAAATTTTTTTTTTAAATGTTTTTTATTTTTTATTTTTTTGGTATTTGATTGTCGTAAAATATTTATAAAGAAAAAAATTATTAAAATATAACAAAAATAATTTATTTATCAATTTTCGGTAGGTTATTTTACATGTCCCACCCAATGGACTCGACCTCAACCTCGACGTAGACCTTTGCCAAACACCGACAAAGTAAAAATAAAAGATAATAATTTACCTAAAAAATATTTTATGTCGAAACAAACGGAGCCTACATATAGAAAGTGTCACAAAAAATCATTATAAATATAGGAGAATTTCATAAGAACTTGGTTTACCTTCTTTATCACTAAAAATAGATACTAATAAAATAATAATAATAATCACCCTACTAGCCTCGATAAAAAAGGAGGGTTGTGTTAGATAGTTTGACATCCAACATAAAATTTTGTCACGATCTTGTGAATATTAATCCTATCAATACTTGAAAAAAAAAACAAAACAAAACAACCTTTGTTGTTGTAACTTACAAGAGCACTTTTACCTTGCAATAGTTCATTACATTGCATATCCCTTGTTTTTATATATACATACATATATATATATATAATTAGTTTGTATATCCCTTGTTATATGTGTATAAATAAAAGATTGTGTATTTGATCATTAAATTCATCTATCTATTTTGACAGACATTTGTTAATTATTATAATGTTCAAAGCTAATAATGATACCATAAATAAAAATAAAGAGATGAATTTAAAGAATAAAAATTGAAAAACATGGCGTTTGCAGTTCAGGCTGGAAAATGGCAAAATATTGCAATTTTTGTTCTAGATTTGACAGCCTTCTTTTAGTGGGGCTATTAAAGTAGTCAATTATATAATTTTCCTATATAGAAGGTACTAAATATATAGAGTTTAATCAGCAAATAGAAATTTCAGGGAAATGAAAAGAAGTGGAAGTCCCATATATAAAAGAAAGGGTCCTGATTTTGTGAATCAAGTAATTTTCCTAGAAAGATAACAACCTGAATGGTCTGAGACTGGTTGGACTGGACAGCAACCTCCCACACCGGCTTGCCGGCCAACAAACTTCCATATTCTCCCGGTTTACCACCAATATCGGTGGTTTCCCGGTCACCAACAAACCGGATTTCCACCACCTTGGAATTAAACCTGACAAATTTCAACACATCAAAGTGAGTAGCATAAGAATTCAAGTATTCCACTATCTCTAAATGAGATGGAAAACTTGTATTATCTCTTTGGGGCCATGGATAATCCGAGAACTCGTAATCGCAACGAGGGGTCTGAAGTTTAGTAGACTTGTAAGAACAATGTCTCCAAACTCCTCCAAGAGAGTCAGTGGCTTCAAACACCACAGGCTCATATTTAGAGAGCTGTTTGGCAGCAGCAATACCGCTTATGCCAGCTCCAATGATGCCAATTTTAGAGAAGAAAGCCATTGAAATTATAATATATGTGTGTGTATGTGTGTGTTTGAGCTAGAATTTTGAGATGCTTATGAACCTAGTGATCGAAATGAGCTAATTTATAGACTTCGCATGAGTTGGTTACGTTAGCAACACGTCATGTGAACTGATTTTAAAGCCTAGAGAGAGAAAGAGGACCATTTCTCTTTTTAATTAATATTGTAGGATTATATGGTTAGTACGAGAAACTGGCCGGTTATAGTCGGGAAATTTCTTCCATCCTTTGCTTTGCTTTAGTTTCTAAATTGAAGGTGGTGGTTGAATTTCTCATCACTTTCGAGCCCTTCTAAATATGTATATATATTTGTATAAATATATGCATATAGGTAGAGTGACGGTACTGATGAAATCATGAAAGTGCTAGTTGCCTAATCCCTTCTATTATTGTTGTTTTTGTGATACATTTATATGCAAAGTAATAATACTGGAAAAAAAAAGGAATAAATGTCGATCGCATTCTTGTTATATTAAATCAATAACTAATTATAAATGAATAAATTTATTTATGGGGTTGGAATCTCACACGGTACAACACTTGTGTTATACTATAATGCATTCGGCCTTTGCATATTTAAAGATCCAAACGTATATAAATTGGGATCGAGTTAAATAATTTTATCATAAATAAAAAATAAATCAATTGATCCGACTCATCTCAGTTCCGTTATTATTATTATACACTATTATATTTTTTTAGGTGAAGTTCATAAGGATGAATATTATGTACAAAAAAACCAGCCACCAGCCACCATAAATTGCTTTTGTTGATGGCGATCTACATAGAATTCTTACATTCCATGTAGCATATATTATAGGTACACATATATGTATGGAGAGAGAGGCCTTAATTTTAAGGAAGTATGCATGAATCTATCCCTCTCGTGTGAAATTTGGTCCATGGTTTTGGTGCAGCCCATGGGTTGAAAAAGGAAACATCCTAGAAAACAAGTAGAAACATGAGGGCAAATCCAATGAAATCAAAGCATACCCATTAGATCGTATGGGAAAATATTTGCAGAGTACACGCAAATACTTGAATTAATTTCAAAGTCCCTCTAATTAACTCTAGTCTACTTACATACTATGACCATCTGTGTTCTTTCAAGCTTTTCATTTTCCTGGTAATAGTCTTATTTTTTTTTAATCAAATTCAAATCAAAATTCAAACGCACAACCATGGCACTGTAATAATATACATACATATATACACACCTGTTTAGCTTTTTTTAGTTGGCTTTTGCTACCCCTTCAACCACGACAGGCGGCTTTTCGGCTGTGAGTTGTCGTTAGCCCCTTCCTCCCAAACTTGAACGCACGTGAGAGTATTCTGAAATCAGAATTTATCCAAGAGCCTAAGCCCCACCCAAGAAATTCATTGGGCCACAGAACTTGAAGCCCAAACTTTTGTTCAACAGTCATCAAATATTCAGATATTTGAATTAGTCCACTGTGCTTTCAGGGATTCCCTTATTGAACTTGTCTTCATCATTTTAGAACTTCCAATTCAGACAAAATATACCACAAATTCATAATTTGTTTAATTTAATTTTCTAAAATACACATTTCAAGAAACATATATATAACATAATTATAAAAGTTATTTATCTGAAAAGATAGCATAAAAATGTTCACGCGCGAAAATAAAACTGTTCTTAAAAAATAAATAAAACTTACAATAAAAGTTCTTTCGATTGTTTTATTAACATACAATAAACCCACTTAACATAGGGAGCTTAACTTGGGGTAATTAGTATCTTCACTGGAAATTGCCAACTCATATCCACAATTCAAATTGGACTAATGGATTAATGTAAGAATTTAATTAATCTTGCAATCACATTAAATTATATGGGTCAATGCAAATCCAAACTTTATTGCATTTGAATTGTATAGGTCTATGCAGATCGAACTTTATAGAATAAAAAATGGTTGAAATTGTACTTTTGACCTTGACTACATCTAACAATTTATAAACTTCCTGTGCTCAAATCAAAGAATTTGTCCAAGATTTTGACGGATAACTAATTAACGTGAGTTTTGGGAGAAACTACACGTCATGTTCTTCCTTTTCTTTCCTTCCTTTCATTTATTTACTGTTTTTTTCTTTTTGGTCATTAAGTGTGACTAGGTAAAAATGTGATACATATAACCGTGGTGTGCAACTCAATGAGGGTTAAAATATATTTAATTGATTAGGACTAACCCCAACACTTCCATGACATGAATGGAAAAGGGGGATTGATTGCAAATCTTAACCATGACTAACGAAATACTTTTATATACCAGTCAATAATTGAGGAGAATATTGGATATTCGGAAGGTAACAAGTAACAACTAAGTAATATCAACGGCCAATGAATATATATATATATAATAAAAAATAATAATTTATTATTGATTGAAACTAAGACACATAAAGTAAGATTGAGAACGAAAATAAAAAAATTAAAATTATACAGAGTAAGAAAAGGAGCGAAAGAGCAAGAGTACCAGCGGAACGTAAGAGCCAGAGTACGCTATTAGCGTAAGAACAACACATATTAAAAAGAACTGTGTGATAGGGCTTATACTATCACTATTTTCATTGTGATGACCTTGTGGGTGGGTGCGAGACACTGACAGGCTACCACACTGGCGAATTACGGGTGCACAGTCCCACATCGTTTGGGAAAGGAAAAGGGAAAGGGAAAGGTGAAGTGCTTATATGTAGGTGTATCACTCTAACTGGTATGAGGCCCTTTGAGGTAAAACCCAAGAGCAAAACCGTGCGAGCTCAGGCCCAAAACGAACAATATCATATCATGTGGTGGAGTAGGTCGTTACAAATGGTATCAGAGCTTGACCCAATCAGAAGTGTGCCGACGGGGACGTCGGGCCTCCAAGGGGGGTGGATTGTAATGACGTTGTGGGTGGGTGTACCGTGGGAAGGTGCGTGTAATACCTTTAATATTTAAAAATGATATAGTTGGAATTTAAATTAAATATTCTTTGAATTTTATTTCATTTTTATTTAATGATGTGGATTATTTGGTTTATGTACATTTAAATGTGATTATTTGGTTTTGCGCTTAATTGTAATTGTCTATTTGTTTTAATTTAATTGTTTGTTATAATGTAATTATTTGGTTTTGTGTTTAATTATAATTGTCTATTTGTTTTAATTTAATTGTTTGTTATAATGTGATTATTTGGTTTTGTGCTTAATTGTAATTGTCTATTTCTTTTGATTTAATTTTTTTGTTATTTTTTTTATGTGTCGTATATTTAATTTAGAGTTAGGGTTTTATTTTAGGAGGTTGTGGTAGCCGACTTATAGTTAGCTGGGAATTAAAAATTAGGTCTTAGTAAGTGCCTATATATAAATAATCTTTTACGTTTGCTAGGGTTAGGAAAAACAAAACCATATTCACGTATTGTGAGATAGAGAGATACAAAGGCATGTAATGGTGTTTAAGGGAACAGCAGAGGGGAGCTTGAGATTGAGAGAACCACCAGATGGGATTTCAGCCATAGACTGTGGGTTAAACCAAGGAAGGATAGGAGGAGTGTTGTTCGTGTGAGGAACCAAGGAGGAAACAGAGAAGTTAGAATAGTGTGTGATCGCCGGAAAATCTAGGAAGACGGTGTAGAGATTTTTAATTCAAAAATCTCGAAGGCAAGTTTCATTCTATCTTTTTCCTGTAAACTTGTGTTCTGTGCATTCTATATAGCCTCTAGGAATCTAATTTAATTTAAAACTGAGATTTATGCATGATAGATAGGCTGAAAACTGTCTAACGAGATTGTAACTGTTAATTTGTTTTGTTTTGCATAAACTGTTTTGGTTAGGATTTAAACTTCTGAAAATTAATTTGTAATGGAAGTTAAGGAGTTTCTAGGATGGTTAGGACATAAATTGAACCCCTAAAATCTTTAAGAAACTTAGAACAGACAGTTGGAACTTCTGTAACTGAAATTGTCTTATGTTTTGTAACTGAAACTGTCTTATATTTTGTAACTATAACTTGTTGTGGCATAAATTGTTCTGTTCTTGTTTTTAGTTTTTGACAAATAATTGGTAGTGGAAACGAAGGAGTTTTTAGGAGTATTAGGGCTTAAAGTGAACCCTTAAAATCCTTAAGAAACTTAGAACAGACAGTTGGAGTTTTCGTCGGAAGCAAAGACGAAGAACAGAGGAAGCAGAGAAGGAAAAACGGAGGCTGGGGAAGTGGAGGCGGCTCCACCCTTCAATGGAGGCAACTCCATTGAAGTGGAGCCGGCTCCACAAGATGTTGAGGCGGCTCCAATATGGGTGGAGCCGGCTCAACCTAAAATTGGAGGCGGCTCCAATTTTATAAAGTGCCCAATACGTGGATTTTTGTAATTTTTGTTACTCCAGGGGTTAAAAGGCAAGTCTAAACTTGGATGGGGGTTCTTAAATGATGTTTATAACACCTTAAAGACCTATGATTATTGGTGTAGGCTATGAGAATGGGCATCATGAAATATATAAAAATAATATGCATGCTGTCAAAGAAGGAGGAAAATTTAATTTGTTAGTTGTTTTAACAAATTAGGTAGACTGAATTGAAAGGTAATTGTGAGATTTTATATCAATAACTTATATAACATTATTAAGTCCCAGGAATGTTGGTTCTTACTATAGTTATAGACATCATGAAATTTAGATACTAAATTATATGTTGTCAGGAGGAGTGGAAGTTGTAATTGCTAGTATCGCTTTAGAAAACTAAACGGACTAGTATAGAGATGGTTTTGGCATTCAAATATAATGTGTTCAGCTTATACTTCTAAGTATCAATATATTATGCTCTGGAGTTATATTTGAGGATTAAATGACGTCATGAGATTTAAATATTAACATACATGCCGTCGAGGAGATAGGAGGGTGTGTTTACTAGCCTTTGTTTCAGTAATTCAAACGGGCTAGTATGGAAATATTGGTAGGGAATTTTAATATAATGTCGTCAGTT